AGTGTTTTTTGTTTTACTAACTTGAATGATCGCCGCTCGCCTTACCCGCACACAGAAGAAAACTCAAAGACCCAAACCGTGAAGCACTAAAGTTCAAGTGTTTTATTTATACAAAAAGCCACAGCAAAAGTGGCATAATAAAACAGTCCTTTTCTTTTCCTGATAAAACCTAAAATTCAAGAGTTTTCCTTAAAAATCAGAGGCTGGAAGTTGGGCTCCGCTTGTTATGCTGCTTCAGGTGCGAGTGATCGTCCTGGAGCACCCACTGGCTGATCCACAGACTCTGCGGCGCTCCAGCACTGTTCCACTCCCTGGCGGGACACACCCCTTTCCAGACCGATCCAGCTAAAAAGAGAACCAAGGAGAACGCCAGCATCCACGCGCCAAAACCCCGTCGGTAGATATATTCCTGTTTATGCTTTAAGCGAGGGGGAGGGCTACTTACAGGCGAGGTTCCTCCTCTGCCCTAATACTCCTTACTGGGCCATCAGTGCGCATGGATCCCGCCTGCATCTCCCCCAGCAGCGCGTCCGTCTCTGTCACCTGCAGATTCCGTTCTCCTTCTCCTTTCCTTCAGACTCCTTTTATGTCGGCTTTAAAGCTGCAGTCTGTAACATTGAGGAGAGAGCAGACTTCGACTGAAAATTTGAAGAAAAACAGGTTTCACGCCACTCCCCCACCCTCTCTGCTTCACTCATGCCCCACCTCCAAGCTCCACCCCTCTCACAGCACCTGCGCGGCTACCGCATGCGACCAGAAGCGTCCAAGCAGCGTACGCCGCATAGAGTGTGAACCGGTAAGAGCGATAACACTCACCTCCAAGCAGCTAGATATAAGATGCTGGTTATACCGAAGTTTGCCGTGGAAGCAGTTGTCGGCAGGGGCAGTAAGGGCAGTTTCTCTTTCGCTGGTGGCTGTCGCTCCGCCATGACTTCCACGCGCGTCCTCCTGACTGCGGCAGCCGGGCGCTGCGGCAGGTTAAGCGGTGAGGGGGGGAGCTGTGATTGACACTCCATCAGACGCTCCTCTGGCTGTGATTGGTTGTTTTGACTCGTCCCGAATTATTCTTTCCAGATTGAAATACAGGCAGTAGGCGGGACCAATTGAAGCAGTTTTTTTCACAGGTTACATATCACATTTACTGCTGTCTGGGCATAGGGACAGTTTTAGCCAATATGACAAAAAAGAGATTTTTAAAAACTTACAGACTTCAGCTTTAATCAGCCCTTGCTCACACCTGAGCGCAGCAATTACGCAGCGCAATTAATGCACTCCGCCTCCTCAGACAACTACTTCAGTCCAGTGCGCATGGATTGTCACAAGGGAAAAACAAACCAAAACAACCCAACATGCAGGAAAAATTCAAAAGTCTAAAATAAAGGAAAACAATCATATAAAAAAGAAACATCAAAACATGCAAAGCTCAAGAAGAAAATACAAAGAAAAACAAATCATATCTTCCTCTCCAAACATGCAAAGCATAAAACTAACATTAAAATGAAAGAAAACCATAAATCATATTTTTCCCTGTGCAACACACTGACGTCACTGACGCAACATTACGTGGACGGCAGGATTGTGATTGTTTTTTTTTCCACAGTCCTCATTTTCAATAAAAGAGCAGACATTTACTGCTAAAACTAGAAAAAGTTGTAACCACAAATGTCAGGAAATACTGTAAGAAAATGCAAAATTTATCTGGAAAAAAATTTTGCGTGTGCTTTTTTTAATTGTATTTTTCATTTAGCAGTTCAAGATAATGATAATTCCATAGATATAATAGCGACCTTTAAGCTATACCGTCTCAGTGACGGAGATGAAAACACAAGGAGAAACAAGCAAGCACGAAAATGATTGCACTTTTTTAAATTAATCAAGTGATTAGAATTTTTTGTGCGATTAATTGATTATTGCGACAGGCCTTCTCAAGACTTGAGACTTGACTTGGACTTGCAAAAAATGACTTGTGAACATGTCTGCGCTGCGCTGCAGAACAGCGCCATTAACACTGCAGCAGACGTGTATGCACTGACTGTGGCCTATTTGGAGGGAAGCCCACACTGCCGGCAGGGCTTTAAGCTACAGCAAGGGTGACCCCAGTGCCTGATTAATAGAACATTTCTGATGTCCATAACAATAGACACGCATAAAAAAAAAAAAAAAAAAATCACCAACTGCCCGCCCGCACTAAAGAAATATCCGCCCGACCCGTTTATTTTTATTTATGTATTTTTCACCCGCAAAAGAGCATTTTAGCGGGTGACCCGTCGGGGACCCGACCCGTTGCAGGACTCTACTGTGACGATTATTTTATATTATCTCTGACTCGTCTTTCCTGAATAAAAGGCTCCTAGGGTGCATCCTATTCATTCTGACAGCAGCTGTCTGAACTATGGTCTGATCCAAGATGGCCGCCCTCTAGGCACGTCGACCAGCGTCCATTGAGACGTCTACTTATATAATGTCTATGGTAGCCCCCTCTAGTGGCAGGTGACACTCTTTCCTTTCCCAGTTTGATTACTACTGATTATTAATGATTATTAAAGGTTATTATTGATGTTTACTGATGGTTATTATTGATTATTAATTTTTTGTATTGATTTTTACTTATTATTATTATTTATTGTTACTGATTATAACCAATTATTAGTTATTAGTATGATTATTACTGACCTTTATTGTTTATTGATGGACCTCAGAGATTGATAAACTCTATGTTCCTGTGATGTCATCTAGAAATGAACCCGTTTCTTTGATGTCCTCCATGTCGGTTCTTCAGGTTCTCTTAGACCAGGAACCAGCTGATGGGTTTATTCTTCAGAACTAGAGTCCAGTTATTTAAATCCCAGAACAAACGGTTATGATCTTTGTCCGCTCTGTTCTGTCTGGATCCAAACTCAACCTCTGCTGGTTCCCTCAGCTCTGACATTCGTTCGGACCGGATCTCACTTCAGAACTCCAAGGATAGTCCTGCTGGGCCCACCGGGGGCCGGGAAGAGCCATCTGGCCCGGCTGGTGTCTCAGAAGTATAAAGTGGTGGACGGTAAGAACCCCACAGGATGGGTTTGGATCCGGTTATAACTGGTTCTGAAATCCGGTTCTGATGGCAGTGAGCTGTGACCACCTGCTGAGGTCTGTGGCAGCGGATGGTTCCGGTCCGGGAGCAGAGATCCAGCCGTACCTTGATGATGGACTTCCAGGTGGGCTCAGTGAGCAGAACCTAGCGGTTCTGGATTGGCCGTGTTCTGACCAGTCCGTCTGTTCAGTTCCAGACTCCCTGCTGCTGCGGGTTCTGGAGACCCGTCTGAGCCGGATGGACTGCATCTGCAGAGGCTGGATCCTGCATGACTTCCCCCAGAACCTGCAGCAGGCCCGGAGCCTGCAGGAGTCCCAGCACCAGCCCAACAGGTGGGAAACCAGAACCCTGTTTACTGCAGATACAGAACCAGTCCCAGACCTGTATGCAGGTCCGGTCCCATCAACCTGGACCCAGCCGCTGAGGTTCTGAAGGATTTTTAATGTAAAGCCCTTTATTGCCCCACAGCAGGGAACCTACCCGCTAAGGGAGCAGTGGGCTGCCACTGTGCGTCACCCAGGGAGCTGTGTGGGGTTAAGGGTTTATAAAGAAAAATAGAAATGTTCTGATACCAGAACCTCTCAACCAGACCTGGTACTTACTGTGTGTCCCCCCCCCCCCCAGGGTGTTCTTCCTGGAGGCGCCAGATGACGTTTGTCTGGAGAGACTGGTTTTGAGAGCTATGGATCCGGTCAGCAGCGAGAGGTCAGCACAGCGCTGTGAGCCCTAGATGCACCGGACTGGACCGGACTGGACCGGACTGGACTGGACCGGGCCTGCTGTGTTAATGTAAACAGTTGTATTGGGTCCTACAGGTGCCACTCTGTGACCCGACCCGCTCCAAACACTGAGATCCAGAACAGACTGCGGACCGAGGCGGTGAGACAGAGGCTGACCCGCTTCAGGATCTGCTCTGCAGCGCTGCAGGTAAAACCCTGTAACCATGGAAACGGACTTTGTTTAGAACCTCAGCTCCATTTAACCTCCATTAGACCTTTCCTTGTCTCTGGTCAGTCTGTTTATCCAGATGGTGTTCATGTTGACGCCGCCCAGGACCCTCGGTCCGTGTTCCAGGTTCTGGAGAGTCGACTCTACTCCCGCTGAACCTGGACCTACGGGACCCACCTGGATCGATTTATTCTTTTGTTTGTTGTTCATTGTTGGTTTTGGTTTTGGAATAAATCCAATAAAAATCCTTTAGCAGGTTAATCTCTCTAATCCACATATTCCCTAATCTGTCCTTCATTTCATTTTAAGGTTCTGTTGCTTTTAAGGTTTCCTCCATTCATTTTTGTATTTAAAGTTTCTGACCCACATTAACTGATTAAAGAACAAATGTTCACATATGCAGAAATAATGGTAAAAAGAAACATAGTTTGAAAAAGACTTTTTGAAGAAGTTTAGACAAACTTATAAGGACAAAAAGCCTTTAGTTAGAACATACATTTGCCATTCACTACGATTTGAAGAACAAAGGATTGACAATGACAAAAAATAAAAAACAAATTAACAATAATAACTCTACTCTCTTCTGTAAATCACATTACAAGAAATGTTTCATAGATCATTATACTCATTTTTAAAGAGCAATCCCTAAAATAGTGAATAATACTATTATTATGCTATATAAATACATATTTGTAAAACATACTCTAACCCTAACCCTATTTATATAAAACTTTGTGTTTATCATATTAATGTTTAAATGTAAAATATATAACTTTGCATAAATCTCTAGTTTAAGTTCAGTTTAAATCGTTCATAATCTGAATAAATCAGTGTAATCTAACTGAGTGATTTTAACATTAAGGTGTTGTGACGTGTCAGAGATTATTGTAATATAATCTCTGACTCTTTCATGTGATTAAATGAGATCAAAGGAGCCTCCTGTTCTTTGGTCTGATCCAAGATGGCCGCCCTACAGGCAGCGTCCAATGAGGCGTCATTAAAGCCCACACAGGCAGGGCAGCCCCGCCCCCTTCTACAGACAAACTAGCTTCAAGGGGGCGGGGGCTCCATGACGTACCAGGAAGAGGCTCCCACGTGTCTTAGTGTGGATCAGGGCAGTATATCGGTGAGGCTTCTTTCTTAATTCTCTGATTTTCTGCTCTAATCATGTTTGTTGTTTTCATTTTAATCCAAACCGGAAGCTACACGTCAGCCTGACGTAAGCCGCTGATTTTTTTAAATGCTGCAGAACTGCGTCAGAAAAATGTCTGTTTAAAGTTTCGTCTCAGAGTAAAAACAGAAATAAAACAGCTGGAGGCTGCATGCGGGGGCTGTGATGTCACAGAGGGAGGCGCGCGGCAGCTTGTTAGGTTATTCCAGAACCTTAGGAACCAATTAGAGCCCTGATCCCTGTTTATTCACTGGATTGCTGCTGGCCTAAAAAAGTGAGGTCTCCTGTCGCCATCTTGGTACTCCCCGCTCTGACAGCATCGCACCATGAAAATGGGTCCCTGTGCAGCATGTGGCTGCAGGAAGACGTTCCAGTCAGTGGATGAACTAAGCAATAGATCATCTATCTGCTGATGGACGTCAGATTTAAAGGCTGACCAGAAACAGCAGAAAGTTTATGACGTCATTCATTCACAATCTGCAGACAGTAAAATACTACAGCTTTAACATTTACTTTTAATTCAGTCTGGATGTAAAATCTTGAAATTATATGTAAGATGTAATTACCATAACAATGGAATAAATACATTAATGTTCATCAATTGATCACTTTCGGCTCATCTTTATTATTCTGCTCCATTAACACATTAGTTTTATTGTGATGGATTGTATAATATGTTATACATGATTTATTGACGTCATAATGACTCTGCAATGTGATGGGCTTATTTATTTATTCTAAGTTAAAGTTAATCTATTGATGCTATGAAACAGCCAGTCTGTGTCAAAGTGATGAATTTATCTTTATTTTAAAGTCTAAAGTCCCTGAATATGAGAACATCGTGGTTGTTCGATGCTGTAGCGCAGATTGTTTACATTGATACCGGTTTAACTAGGGAGTACCAATATGGCGGCCAGTGGCTTCACTCCACCCCGTCCTACCTACGGCCAATCAGAATCCAGGATATAAACAGAGATCAGTGAGTTTGGGCCGCTGAGCTTAAATCGAGCGTTTTTTCCATGGAGTCTGGTCAGACTCTGCTTCTCTCCGCTTTCTGCAGCGTCTGATGACGTCATCAGCAGAGGAGCAGCTGTGTCTGAACATCTGCAACAGTGGGCCTTCATCATCTCCAGCATCATCATCGCTGTCCAGCAGCAGGAAATGGATCTCAGTGAGTAGCTTCCACCAGAACCGGAACCACTTCCTGCTTCAGATCTTTGGTCAGGAACCGGTTCTGATGATGATGTTAGTGAGGAAGAGGAGGCCTGTCTTTGTTCTCTGGGTCGATCTCTTTAACTTCTGGACCAAACTGTTCTGTAGAACCGTCCAGTTTGGACCTGCAGCATGTTCATCTGAGCCCAGTGCTGCAGGTCCCTGGTTCAGGTGATCTGTTGGTGACCATCAGCTGATGTTCCACAGAGGAAGCAGAGAGCAGAAAAGAAGAAGGAGGGGAGGAGCTCTGGGAGGGGGCGGAGCTTCACCAGAGAGAGACTGACCCTTCGTCACACGACTGATGAAGAGGAGGCTGACCTACAGGTCGTCCTTTTTTCTTCTCAGTTCTTTTCTCTGTTTCGTTGCTGATTTAAACCCTGACTGCGTGTCGTTTAGGCTCCGCCCCCTGGGCTGACTGACAGGATACCACCGAAGAAGAAGAAGAGGAAGGAGATGAAGAAAGAGGAGGGGAAGGAAGGACGGAGCATCAAGACCTCCTCTCTGTTCCGACACAACCCAGAGATCCCAGAGATCCTCAGGTAAGCTGGGTTCTGATTGGCCGGCCCAGTGGGACCAGCCCTCCTCTGATTGGCTGCATCCGTACATCACTTCCTGTTTCCTCCTTCAGGCCCAACGTCTGCCAGCCGAAGGAGAAAATCTTCACTTCCGAGTCCTTCTCAGACCTGCAGCTGCACCCGCACCTGGTAACACCTGGACCCCCTGGGCCTGCAGGTCCCCTGGGCCCAGCAGGACCCCTGGACCTGCAGGACCCCTGGGCCCTCTGGACCGGGTCCAGCACCATCAGGGTTCTGCCCGTTAGCTGCCCAGTGTTCCCAGTAGATCCAGCATGAAGGTTCTTCAGAACCGAGGCGTAAACTGAAACAGAACCAGGTTTTTGTTCCACTAAATGTAAAGCCGGGTTGTTCTGAGAAGAACCTTCATGCAGGACCGGTTCTGACGGGTTCTCTGGGTCCAAACATGGCGGCTCTGACTCGCTGTCTTTGTCCTCCAGGTGGCGACTCTCACCAAGGTCCTGAATGTTTCCAGACTGACCAGGTGAGTCCAGATCAGGTGGCGGTAGGTTCTGGCCCACTGCCCGGCGCTAACCGGGTCGGTTCTCTGTCCGCAGCGTCCAGCAGCAGACCATCCCAGCCCTCCTGTCCGGACGGGATGCCGTGGTCCGGTCCCAGACCGGTTCAGGTGAGTCTGACCTGCAGCGGATCAGAACCGGGCTGGGTTCTCAGGTTCTTCCCCACTGACCATGTCTGGCTCGCCTGCAGGGAAGACGCTGTGCTACGCGGTGCCGCTGGTCCAAAGTCTTCAGGCCGTGGAGCCGAAGGTCCGCAGGTCCGACGGGCCGCTGGCCGTCATCATCGTTCCGACCCGAGAGGTTCCGTCCTTCAAACACGCTGCCTCCTGCTTCCTACGGTTCTGGTTCTGACCCGGTTCTGCTTCTTCTTTCCCAGCTCGCTCTGCAAACCTTCCAGACCTTCCAGAAGCTTCTCAAGGTACCAGAACCAAGTTTGGACCTCACCGGAGCCGTTCCCAGTTCTGGACGGTTCTGGTGATGTTGTTGTTTTTTATCCAGCAACATGTTGGGGAGGGGCAGGTGGTTCTGTCCAGTCGACCCGTCCGTCCTCTGAGGTCTCACTGGTAGAACCTGTGGAGGGTTTCTGGGTCCGGTTGGTTCTTCCTGTGGTTCTGGTCTCTGAGCCGCTCCCTTTCTGTCTGCAGCCGTTCACCTGGGTGGTTCCGGGGGTTCTGATGGGCGGAGAGAAGAGGAAGGCGGAGAAGGCCAGGTACCAGCAGGTTCTGACTGGTCTGACCCGGTCCAGAGCAGCCCAGGTTCTGACCCGTTCTCCTCCTCAGGATCCGTAAAGGGATCAACATCCTGGTGTCCACTCCGGGACGCCTGGTGGACCACCTGCGCCACACCCTGAGCATGGCCTTCAGCGCCGTGCGCTGGCTGGTTCTGGACGAGGCGGACAGGTGGGTCACAGCTCCTCTTCTGGGTCAGGTTCTGACCCGTTAGGTGAGCTCAGAACCGGTTCTTCTCTCCGCCTGCAGGATCCTGGATCTGGGCTTTGAGAAAGACCTGACGGTCATCCTGAACAGCCTGAACTCCAGCGGCCCGGCCCGGCAGAACGTTCTGCTGTCCGCCACGCTGACTCCAGGTCAGTCCGGTTCTGCCCCGCCCCTCGGCGCCGCTGACCCGGCTCTCAACCAAAGAACTTGCTGTTTCAGGCGTAACCCGGTTGGCAGACGTGTGCCTGAAGGATCCGATCAGTGTCAGTGTTTCTGGCCCCGCCTCCTCTGACCTCACCGCTGAGCCCGCCGTCGCCGGCCAATCGGAGAGCTTCGCCGTTCCGGAGGCTCTGCAGCAGTTTGTGGTGGTGGTTCCCAGTAAGGTCCGACTGGTCTGCCTGGCTGCCTTCATCCTGGACAAATGCAAGGTGACCACACCGTTACCATGGAGACCGCCGGAGCCCTGTAGGTGGGGCATGACAGAGGCGTTGCCATGGAGACCTGACCTCCTGCTCTCTCAGTTTTCTCCCCAGAATAAAGTCATGGTATTCGTGTCGAGCTGCGAGGTCGTCCACTTCCTCCACCTGCTCCTCAGCTCCGCCCTGGCCCGCCACCTGGCCAATCAGGAGCTGAGCTTCCTGCGTCTCCATGGAAACATGAAACAGGAGGTTAGATTCCCCCCGCCCGCCACAGGCAGCAGCTCCACCCCTCTGGGCGGGTCTGACTCTGTGTTCTGCCTCTGCAGGAGCGATCCGAGGTGTTTCAGAAGTTCTGCGCTTCCAGTTCTGGAGTTCTGCTGTGCACGGTCAGTACCTCGGTTCGACCAGCAGGGGGCCCGGCTGCCGGGTTCAGAACCTTCAGAGCTCAGGTGTCTGATTAGAGTGGCTCACCTCTCTCCCTCCGTCTGATCCAGGATGTAGCGGCCAGAGGGTTGGACCTTCCTGAGGTCACCTGGATCGTTCAGGTAAAGACGAGCTGCGGCCAGGATGTTCTGATCCGTCCAGAACCAGCTTTAAGGTAATCGGTCTGTTTGTGCTTCAGTACACGCCTCCATCATCAGCTGCTGAGTACGTTCACCGCGTGGGCCGCACGGCCCGCATCGGAGGAGGAGGAAGCGGCCTCCTCTTCCTCACGCCTGCTGAGACCGCCTTCATCACTGATCTGGCCAATCATGACATCAGGTGCGTGGACTGAACGGGTCACACATGTGATTCATACATGCAGAGGAACCGATCCACACGCAGCACATGATTCACCAAAGTATTTCTGCTCCATAAACAATTAGAAATTAAACTTCTCTGCATTGTGTGGATTTATCAGACGTTCCTCCATACATTAATACATTGTTTATACAGGGGATGGTTTGCAACCAATCACAGAGCTCCCTGTATAAGCCAATCCCAAGAAAGTAGTCCCGGTGGGACGGCTCCAGTCGGGTGTTCTGTCAGGCCAGCATACGGCGTCAGGCCAGCATACGCTCCGTAATACGCGTCACATAGAGCTTCCTGTGTCTCTGCTCTGCTTACATCCAATCACGGCGTTTTATTCCGCGGTTTAATCCGGTTAATGTTGTAGTTTCTGCATAAAACAACAAAACCATCGTTCACTGGGTTCGTTACACATTAGTTTGAAAAAGAAACCTTCCATGTCTGTTAGATGAGGATCTGATTAAAGAATGATCTGCATTTTTATTAAATATTTATAGGGAAAGAATTTTACAACTGCATTGACAGTTTATTTGTTTTTAGGTTAATATGAGCGACATGCAGATCATTTTATTTTTTTTATTTTTACAGCAGATTAAGATCTACTGATTATTTTCAGATTACACATAAATAGATGAATAAATTCTGCGGGGGGGAAAGGAATGACTTTAGGATTAGGATTTACCCTGTGATAACAGCCTACTGGCACTGAGCCATCCTATGGGACTGATGGCCGCTAATAACGGCCATGCGTGTGATCAGTCACCGCTGCCCTTCACGCCGCCTGCCCAAAGCAAAGCCTGCAGCCTCCGCTGCCCCCCCCCCATCCTGCTCCACTCCGATTTATCCTCTGAGCTCCAGGAGAGCATGAGCCAGATTATTATGAAATATATAGGATCAAAACATGCAGAAATTAATATGACATATTATAAAATCCCCCCCAGCATCCAGCAGATGTTCAGTTTCTGCACAAATATTTTCTTTTTGTTGTGGATTTTTGTAACAGGGATAAATAGGATCATTTAATCTTTATATTTATAACAGCTGATCTAGAACAGAAAAGGCGCAGCTGTATCTATGAACACATGAATGGAAAATAGGTTTAGGATTATAAAAATAAAAATATTCCTGTTAATTTTCACTTTAACTTTTTTAAAGGACAGATTATTTTTTATTCATTTATACGTTTAAAGACAAAACAAAACAAGCTGCCGTCCAGGATACAGTAGAAACAACTAGAGGCCATTTTATTTCATAGTTATTATTATGTAGAAAAAAATATGTTTTTCAATTTGCTTGTTTATATATAAAAGTTTCATTTACATATTTTGTTATGGAAAAATAGTGAAGTCCCCACAGACTGTATTAAACCAACCGGTCTGTTAATGAACTCGATGTTCTGTTGCTCATAAGGGAAGAAGACAGAGAGGCTGAATGGCTCTAATTAATAACCAGCATTGATTGATTCATATTATTTATCTTAGGAAATGGAAGAGGCACATTCCTGGATTTCACACCTGATTTTTGTTTAAATATGAATAAATATGTAAAAATGGATGTTTCCTATTTGAATTTTCATAAAATGTATTTATTTCTATCGATGATCTGGAAACGTCTCCAGATTAGATCAGATCGCAGGAATCTGCTCACCTTAACTTTCCTTCCAGACTGATGATGATTGTTTTCTACTTTCGGCTACTTTAGATCGCCCATGAAACGTCAAATAATAGCAAATCTAGATTACTAAGCTACAGATGCTCCCAACCCGGCAAACGACGCTGCGTGATGTCATTATCGTTGTCTGGGCAACCACGTTGCTTTACGTCGCGTGGCAACGTTCAGCCGATAACGTAGCGTGATGTCACTGGCAGGAAGCAGGACCCAGCGTGTCGCTCCGTCTCTGATGGATGTTCTGGTTTCAGCGTTTCAGAGATGAAGCTGCAGGACGTCCTCTCATGCCTGATGAAGGACGACGCCTTCAAAGGTCGAGGGAAATATCACAGCCAGGTAGGCGGCAGACTGTGGCCCTGAACCTGGGGAAGCAGAACGTCTCTAACGGCTGTAGAACACACCTGGACGCCCACCGTTACCTTAGCGACTGAAGCTGAGGTGGGCGGTCCCTGGCGTCCGTCTGAAGGCTCCTCTGATCCAGGTCTTGTTTCTTCTCAGACTTCGTCCGCAGCTCTGCAGCAGGACGTCCGAGAACGCGCCACCGTCCTGCAGACGGAGCTGGAGAACTTTGTGCACTCCGACACTCAGTCTCTGCAAGCTGCAAAGAAAGGTACGCTGACACGTGACCCCGTCTGAGGGCTATGCTGTGCTGTGATTGGCTGACCTGTCCTGTGATGTCACAGCGCTGCAGTCCTTCCTTCGGGCCTACACCACCTACCCCGCCCACCTCAAACATATCTTCCACATCCGCCGCCTCCACCTGGGCCACACCGCCAAGAGCTTCGGCCTGAGAGACGCTCCTCAGGGCCTCAGCGCCCAACCAGGAAGCAGGATCCAGGGCCACGCCCAGAAAAGGCCCGGAGGTCCACTCAAGAACCAGAACCCTGGCAGGAAAAGGTGAGCGGATGATGGTCCTGGCTAATACTACATTACCCATGATTCTCTGCTGCTGGTACCAGAACCCTACCGCCTCCAGTTCCCCCCAGAGCTGGAAAAGTTACAGTTAGCAAAGATTCCAACATGGCGGCTGCCAGGAAAGCTGTTCCAGCACGCTAACATGCTAAACACCTGCCTGTTAGCTCACAGCTGCTGGAGACGCCATCTTGGATCCAAAGTTCCCTCCAAACCTTTTCAGGCTGATCCTAAACCGGCTCCTAAGCGCTAACCCTCCGTTCCCAACCAGGCATCGCCGCATCACAGGTCAAACAGAAAGGAGTGCGTTTTATGGTGCGATGGTGGATCATACTTTCTTTCCTCTGTGCTGCTGTTCTAAATCCTGCAAAAAATGCTAAAAATCCAGAGAAACGCCGCATGAGATCAAAGAACATTTAGCAGCGCTGATTAAACCCCTCAGACTCTGACTGCTTCTATTCGCCCTCGTTAAAGGATAAAAACTCCATCATGAAGGTGAAGAAAATATTAACTCGCCGTGTAAAATGACTCCTTCCTGACGTCACAGCGCCTCATCAGGTCACATGACAAAATGAGTCGTCTGTTATCTTTATTTTATGCTATAAACAATGAAACGCTGCAAGTTTTTTCACTTATGTATTTAATTTTGTAAATACTTTCAAATTAGAAACTATGGGTTTTCTATTTGAACATGAAGTGCCGTCCCAAACCAGGCAGGTTGCAGGGTGTAGGGCGCAGGGCGTAGGGTGTAGGGCGTAGGGTGTAGGGCGTAGGGCGTAGGGCGTAGGGCGTAGGGTGTAGGGCGTAGGGTGTAGGGCGTAGGGTGTAGGGCGCAGGGTGTAGGGCGCAGGGTGTAGGGCGCAGGGTGTAGGGCGCAGGGTGTAGGGCGCAGGGCGTAGGGCGCAGGGTGTAGGGTGTAGGGCGCAGGGCGTAGGGTGTAGGGCGCAGGGCGTAGGGTGTAGGGCGCAGGGCGTAGGGTGTAGGGCGTAGGGTGTAGGGCGCAGGGTGTAGGGCGCAGGGTGTAGGGCGCAGGGTGTAGGACGCAGGGCGTAGGGCGCAGGGTGTAGGGCGCAGGGCGCAGGGCGTAGGGCGCAGGGCGTAGGGCGCAGGGCGTAGGGCGTAGGGTGTAGGGCGCAGGGCGTAGGGCGCAGGGCGTAGGGCGCAGGGCGTAGGGCGCAGGGTGTAGGGCGCAGGGCGCAGGGCGTAGGGTGTAGGGCGTAGGGCGTAGGGCGCAGGGCGTAGGACGCAGGGCGTAGGGCGCAGGGCGTAGGACGCAGGGCGTAGGGCGCAGGGCGTAGGGCGCAGGGCGCAGGGTGTAGGGCGCAGGGCGTAGGGCGCAGGGCGTAGGGTGTAGGGCGTAGGGCGCAGGGTGTAGGGCGTAGGGCGCAGGGTGTAGGGCGCAGGGCGTAGGGTGTAGGGCGCAGGGCGGCGTCCAGCCCTGGCCGCTGAGCCAGGCAGCAGGCCTAACGGTGAACTAACGCTGCGTCTTCGTCACCCTGACAGAAAACCACAAGTTAGGAAGGAGAAAAACACGACAATAAATCTGAGAGGGAAGGTCGACTTTGAAACGGTTTATTTATATAGAGCTACAGCCATGCACTGTGTTACCATAGCAACGACTGCTTTCCTGTTCCTCAGGAGGGAGGAGGGCGTCCCACTCTCACTTATAGCCCCGCCTACAACCGGTGGAGCTCAGTTAGAGCAGCAGAAAGGCATTCTGGGAGCTGTAGTTTTTACATAGTTCTTCTGTTCTCTTCCCTCAGGTTCCGTACTGGTACCAGGGAGGCGGTTCTGATCCGGTCAGAGTTCTCCAGTGGGATGGAGGGAAAAGAAGCCAAGAAGAAGAAGAAGAAGAAAGGGGAGGAAAAGGAGGACTGATGAAGGATCAGAATGTTCTGTAGTTCTGAGTAGAACCCGGTTAATGGACGGATATGGACCGGTACCATCCGGGTTGAACAGAACCACATCACTGGACTAAACATTCTAGAGTAAATCTTATCGTCAGAGTGAGACGTCCTGCTTCTGAAGATCTTTGTTTTTTATATCCTCTGTTGATTTTACTGTGAAATAAAAATCTGACGCGTTCTGGTTCTGGTTCTGCAACAAAGCCCTTCAATCAGAGAGACCCAGAACCGGGTCAGCTTTGGTTCTGGACGCATAGAGAAGGTTCCTGCAAGGAATGGATCAGCTTGTTTCTAATTAGGCAGCAAATTCTCTTCAGAACCTGAACAGAACCTGTGACGTGTTCTTAGAAACATCTGTGGTTCTGGTATCCTGGTGATGCGGTTCTGAAGGTCCGTTTGGGTTTTCTCTGTCAGAACCTCCGTCCATGGCCACGGGTCCAGTTCAGCTGTCTGATTCTACAGCCAACCGGATCAGAACCGCTTCCAAGCAGATTCTGAAGAACTAACTGAACCAGAACCAAAGAGCTGCAGCCTGACCCGCTTCCACCTGAACCATGCGGCCTGCCGACCCGGCAGCAGGTTCTGGTTCTGCAGAACCCGAGGAGAACCCTTCATGGGCAGCAGAACCGGTCCACTACTGGTTCTGATCCCGTCTAGTTCATCTATATCTACAGCCCCACTGAACCAGAACCAGCTAGAATCTAAAGGAGTTCTGATCCTGATGGTGAAGGTCTGACCCAGACTGATCCTGATGGATCTACGGAGGCCCAGGAGGCTCACTGACAAATAAAGCTTCAATCCATTTAACTTTATTGTTGTTTATTTTATTTATTGTCATTAAACCGTCAGCAGTTCAGAGCAACACAACTCCCTCTCTGCATTTAACCCCCCCCCCCCCGGGGAGCGGGGTGAGGATAAGGGTCTGGCTCAGGGACCCAGAATGCAGTCTGTGGGAGTGGGACTCAGAATAATTCTATTCAGTTTATTTCTATAGCTCCAATTCACATCATGTCATCTCAGGTCACTTTCCAGTTCACCAGATCATCCAGTCAGATTGATTCAAAGTTTTCTATCTAAGGAAAACCAGCTGATTGCATCGACTCATTGACTCTTCAGCAATCCCTCACACTAAGCATGCTTGTAGCGACAGTGGAGAGGAAAAACTCCCTTTGAACAGGAAGAAACCTCCAGCAGAACCAGGCTCAGTGTGAGCGGCCATCTGCTGAGGCCCACTGGGGTTCAAGGAGACAGAAGCAGACATAGAAAAAGAAGCATAGATACAAAAGGCAGCTGTCAACCAGCTCCACAGGCGGCCCCGTCCAGGAAACACACAGCCAGGCAGACGAGCTCCAAGGCAGCTCCCATGTCAGAGGATGAAGAGAGCACATCCAGTTAGTCACAGTCAGAGAAACAGGACTACACTGGAAAACAGGCCAAGCTCCAACATCTAGAAACAAAGGTGTTGATGGCAGCAGCACAGCTGATATTTCTCTCCAGGATGGAGTCACAGCCAAACAGGAACAGACCAGATGAAGCTACTATGAGAAAAAGCAGAGAGAGCAGAATGTTAGAGATTGAACTAACAGATTCTGCAGAGTGGGAGAATAGAGATAGAATGAAGCAGAATGATGAAAAAGGGGTCCCTATGTCCTCCAGCAGTCTAAGCCTATAGCAGCAGAACTATAGAGATGGAGAGAACCTCTGGATTCCAAGCTCTATGCTCCAAGCTCTGGGCCACCACTCCTTTATTTGATGCTGCTAAACCTGTTTAATTGGAATAATCTTAGTGAAGCTTAGAGTCAGAAATGTGAGAAGAAAAAGCTTCCCGCTGAGGAGAACCAGGTTCTGACCCGTTACCCAGAACATGTTCTTCCTTCGCCAACATGGCGGACCCAAACGGCTGAGTCTCCTCCTCGCTCAAGTTCTGCAGTCACTCACCTGGTTGGACCTCCTAAAGGTGGAGGGAGCCGGGCCCTCAGGGACCCGTCAGATGGAGGGTCCGTTGTTTAATCTCTCCTTCATTTTGTCATTTGAAACCAAGGATTTCATAGAATAATAAACCATAGAGCTGTTCCTGCTGTCCTTCAATGATTGAACATCTGGATGAAAATCTTTCCTGTTTTGAAGGATTGAACAGTTAATCAAACATCTCCGTCCTCTAATGTTCCACTAATGTCTTCATTCATTCATTCAGCTGTCTGATCTACTTTCTATAGTTCTAGTGAGGACGCAGGCAGCAGCGTCTGGATCAGCCGTCTGATCTACTTTCTATAGTTCTAGTGAGGACGCAGGCAGCAGCGTCTGGGTCAGCTGTCTGATCTACTTTCTATAGTTCTAGTGAGGACGCAGGCAGCAGCGTCTGGATCAGCCGTCTGATCTACTTTCTATAGTTCTAGTGAGGACGCAGGCAGCAGCGTCTGGATCAGCTGTCTGATCTACTTTCTATAGTTCTAGTGAGGACGCAGGCAGCAGCGTCTGGATCAGCTGTCTGATCTACTTTCTATAGTTCTAGTGAGGACGCAGGCAGCAGCGTCTGGATCAGCTGTCTGATCTACTTTCTATAGTTCTAGTGAGGACGCAGGCAGCAGCGTCTGGATCAGCTGTCTGATCTACTTTCTATAGTTCTAGTGAGGACGCAGGCAGCAGCGTCTGGATCAGCTGTCTGATCTACTTTCTATAGTTCTAGTGAGGACGCAGGCAGCAGCGTCTGGATCAGCTGTCTGATCTACTTTCTATAGTTCTAGTGAGGACGCAGGCAGCAGCGTCTGGATCAGCTGTCTGATCTACTTTCTATAGTTCTAGTGAGGACGCAGGCAGCAGCGTCTGGATCAGCCGTCTGATCTACTTTCTATAGTTCTAGTGAGGACGCAGGCAGCAGCAGCAGCTGTCTGGCAGCGTAGAATTCAGTTTTAGATTGTAAGAATGTTTATTTTAGATATCTGAGATTTTCATTTTGTTTAGTAAAAAATGCATTTGAGACATTTGGATTAAATATTCAGTCAAGCTAATAAATGTCAAAACGGCCTGCCATAGAACCTCATACATCGTTTCAATAGTTGAATTAGAACCAGTCGGGTCAAATTCTATTGTTTTTATTTCTATTCTCAAACGGGATCGGGCCGAACTTCGTACCACCTGGCAGAATTCCTCCCTGATGGAAAAATGGACCTGGAACCAGAATCTAGAAGAACCAAACTGGACTCGGTTCTGATGAAAACATCTCTGCTTTATTAGGAGGGGTGTTAACATGTCCGGTTCTGATCCGGATCAGTCCAGACTGTTTGTCCCATGATCAGGACCTCCTCTCTGGGTCTGTGGCTGCTGAGGAGCTTTGAGGGCCCGAGGCCGGGCCCCTGGGTCCCTGAAGGTGTCCAGAGCTGGAGGGACCTGTAGGAGGAGCAGAGGCTATCAGCGGTCCAACACAACCAGAACCAGAACCTGAACAGGTAGCTGAGCAGAACTCCATGAATCAGGAAGGGGGAGACAAAAGGATCCAGAATCAAAGTAAAGGCTGTTCCTGAAGGTCCACCCTGACCTCTGACCCCCCCATCACTACACAGTGGACTTTATAGTGACTGTTATACTGAACCAGAACCAGCTGGTTCGGACAGATGATCACTGCTTTTCAAGGTTCATTGTGGGACACTCTTCTAAAAATGGCGACACCCTGCAGAGCTCTATGGAGGGGTCAGGGCGGAGCTTGGAGAGCAGGTGTGTTTTTTTACCTGTGAGAACTGCGGCAGCTTGAAAGGTGTCTGTGAGACGGGCAGAGGTCTGTTCCTCCTTAGCAGGCTGCTTTTGGTTTCTGCAAATTTACCCGCTTTATTCTGAAACAAGAAAATGTTTCCTTTAATCAAAGCTGCTGGAAGTTAAGGTCTAGTGCCCCCTAGTGGCTAAAGGTTCGTCCACATCCAGTGGCGGCTGGCCAATAGAGGGCGCCGCCCCACCCACACAATGACCTTTATTAAGACATAAAAAAAAACAAATTAAAATATTTGGAAATATATTGATGAATATTTATCTCAGATAAATATTTAATATTTGATGATGATGAGTAGAGCTTTTTAGTTTTTTCGCTGCCGTACAGCGTAAAAATCTGCCCATTGACTCTCGTCAAAACTTGTCCATACGCAGCAGCTCCTCTGCAATACAGAAGGATAGAAGAGCTCTATATGGCAAGAGGTGACGTCAGAAAAAATTAATCATCAGTCCAAAGACAGATGGACACAGTTCACTCAGTCTTTTTCCAGGACCTGGTTTAGCTCCAAGGCTAGGCTAACTGCATGCAGCGAGGCTAACTGCATGTAGCTAGGCTAATACATTTAGCTAGGCTAACTGCATGTAGCCAGGCTAATTGCATGGAGCGAGTCTAACTGCATGCAGCGAGGCTAACTGCATGTAGCCAGGCTAATTGCATGGAGCGAGTCTAACTGCATGCAGCGAGGCTAACTGCATGTAGCTAGGCTAATGCATGTAGCTAGGCTAACTGCATGTAGCCAGGCTAACTGCATGTAGCTAGGCTAATTGCATGTAGCTACGCTAACTGCATGCAGCTAGGGTGATTGCATGTAGCCAGGCTAACTGCATGTAGCTAGGCTAACTGCATGCAGCTAGGCTAACTGCATGTAGCCAGGCTAACTGCATGTAGCTAGGCTAATGCATGTAGCCAGGCTAACTGCATGTAGCTTGGTTAACTGCATGTAGCCAGGCTAATTGCATGTAGTTAGGCCAACTGCATGCAGCCAGGCTAACTGCATGTAGCCAGGCTAACTGCATGCAGCTAGGCTAATGCATGTAGCCAGGCTTACTGCATGTAGCTAGGCTAACTGCATGCAGCGAGGCTAACTGCATGTAGCTAGGCTAATGCATGTAGCCAGGCTAATTGCATTAAACTACGCTAACTGCATGCAGCTAGGGTAATTCTATGTAGCCAGTCTAACTGCATGTAGCTAGGCTAACTGCATGCAGCTAAGCTAAATGCATGTAGCCAGGCTAACTGCATGTAGCTAGGCTAATGCGTGTAGCCAGGCTAACTGCTTGTAGCTTGTCTAACTGCATGTAGCTAGGCTAATTGCATGTAGTTAGGCTAACTGCATGTAGCGAGGCTAACTGCATGTAGCTAGGTTAACTGCATGCAGCTAGGCTTACTGCATGTAGCCAGACTAATTGCATGTAGTTAGGCCAACTGCATGCAGCCAGGCTAACTGCATGTAGCCAGGCTAACTGCATGCAGCTAGGCTAATGCATGTAGCCAGGCTTACTGCATGTAGCTAGGCTAACTGCATGCAGCTAGGCTAACTGCATGTAGCTAGGCTAATGCATGTAGCTAGGCTAACTGCATGTAGCCAGGCTAACTGCATGTAGCTAGGCTAATTGCATGTAGCTACGCTAACTGCATGCAGCTAGGGTGATTGCATGTAGCCAGGCTAACTGCATGTAGCTAGGCTAACTGCATGCAGCTAGGCTAACTGCATGTAGCCAGGCTAACTGCATGTAGCTAGGCTAATGCATGTAGCCAGGCTAACTGCATGTAGCTTGGTTAACTGCATGTAGCCAGGCTAATTGCATGTAGTTAGGCCAACTGCATGCAGCCAGGCTAACTGCATGTAGCCAGGCTAACTGCATGCAGCTAGGCTAATGCATGTAGCCAGGCTTACTGCATGTAGCTAGGCTTACTGCATGCAGCGAGGCTAACTGCATGTAGCTAGGCTAATGCATGTAGCCAGGCTTACTGCATGTAGCTAGCGTAACTGCATGTAGCCAGGCTAACTGCATGTAGCTAGGCTAATTGCATTAAACTACACTAACTGCATGCAGCTAGGGTAATTCTATGTAGCCAGTCTAACTGCATGTAGCTAGGCTAACTGCATGCAGCTAAGCTAAATGCATGTAGCCAGGCTAACTGCATGTAGCTAGGCTAATGCGTGTAGCCAGGCTAACTGCTTGTAGCTTGTCTAACTGCATGTAGCTTGGCTAATTGCATGTAGTTAGGCTAACTGCATGTAGCGAGGCTAACTGCATGTAGCTAGGTTAACTGCATGCAGCTAGGCTTACTGCATGTAGCCAGGCTAACTGCATGTAGCTAGGCTAATGCATGTAGCCAGGCTAACTGCATGTAGCTTGGTTAACTGCATGTAGCCAGGCTAATTGCATGTAGTTAGGCCAACTGCATGCAGCCAGGCTAACTGCATGCAGCTAGGCTAATGCATGTAGCCAGGCTTACTGCATGTAGCTAGGCTAACTGCATGCAGCTAGGCTAATTGCATGCAGCGAGGCTAACTGCATGCAGCGAGGCTAACTGCATGTAGCTAGACTAATGCATGTAGCCAGGCTTACTGCATGTAGCTAGGCTAACTGCATGTAGCCAGGCTAACTGCATGTAGCTAGGCTAATTGCATGAAACTACGCTAACTGCATGCAGCTAGGGTAATTGCATGTAGCCAGGCTAACTGCATGTAGGTAGGCTAACTGCATGCAGCTAAGCTAAATGCATGTAGCCAGGCTAACTGCATGTAGCTAGGCTAATGCGTGTAGCCAGGCTAACTGCATGTAGCTTGGTTAACTGCATGTAGCTAGGCTAATTGCATGTAGTTAGGCCAACTGCATGTAGCCAGGCTAACTGCATGTAGCAAGGCTAACTGCATGTAGCGAGGCTAACTGCATGTAGCGAGGCTAACTGCATGTAGCCAGGCTAACTGCATGTAGCTATGCTAATTGCATGTAGTTAGGCCAACTGCATGTAGCCAGGCTAACTGCATGTAGCGAGGCTAACTGCATGTAGCCAGGCTAACTGCATGTGGCTAGGTTAACTGCATGTAGCGAGGCTAACTGCATGTAGCTAGGTTAACTGCGTGCAGCGAGGCTATTTCAAAGGTCAGGATGTGATCCAGCGTGGATAAAGACAGCTAGGACTGATTTAAAGAACTTTGTAGAAAAGAAGAACGAACAATCTGGGATTCACATGGAAAATAATAGAATCTAGTCTGCTTTTTCTACATGTTTGTTCATTTGGATAGTTGTTCTTAAACAAACCCATTCTCAGAAAATAAATATTTTTTATATGAGAATATCTAAAGCTGACTGATAGCTTCTCCATTATTAAACTGGTCGATTATTATTTTAGGTTTGTGACGCCATATTGGAGAATGGAAAACACAGATTTACCTTCACAGCCTCAGAAGGACAGAAAGTAAACCTGCTGGACATGAAGTCATGTTAGTTTTTATAAAGTGTTTTTATAATATTTTTTGTTGTTGGCATTCATATAAATATACTGGTGTGATTAGATAGTATACGTTTGATCGGTTTTAGTCTGTATTGAATATATAGCGCCCCCTGGAGGAAACTCCACCATCGTCCTCTGCTGTAGTCGGTGTTTAGGACCCAGAGTCAGTCTAAGAAGCATGTTTGGACTGAACTGTCCTCTGCTGCTAAACGCTGCTGTCCTCACAGCAGCAGATCGTGGTTCTGGGTGATCGGGTCAGTTCAGTCTCTCACCGTGGGTCTGTGGTTGCTGGTTTGATTCCTCTCCAGCTGTTTTTCCATCCAGCGGTGGGCGTACTGATTGGACAGGATGTCGGCCAGCGGCGTGGACGGCCTGATCAGATGTCCGTCAGCTGTTAACTACCAATCAGGCACCAACAATCAGTCACATGATCCTTTTCTCACCTGGTTTTGACTCCAAACCTGGTGTCCGGTACCACTGGCTGGTGCTGAAAGGTTCTGCTGTGTTGCTGCCTTGCTGTGTGGGTCTGGGTCTGTTGAACCCGGTTCTGGCTCAGCCTCTTGGACTTCACCAGTCCCGACTTGACGGCATCCCGGTTCAAAGACACAAAGTCTCGCTTCTGGGTGGACTCTTCCCGCCTGGTATGAACCTTCCAGCTGGATATGGCTGAAAACAGACACGGCATCAGAAGAACCAAAGAGTCAGAAGATCAAGGATCACATGGTTCTGAGGAAACCAGCTCCAATAGGTCCAGTGGGTCAGGTGGTCCAGTAGGTCTAATAGGTCCAGTAGGTTCTGGCTTACCTTCAGCCACGCCTCCATCGTTGATTGAGCTTCTGATTCCGTAGGTAAAATCTGGACCAGGAAGAGCTAAACCCCTGGACCGGGCCCTTCCCAGAGGCGCCTGGACACACAACAGACTGGAAACATCTTCATCATCTTCATCATCATCATCTACATCATCGCCATCACCAACATCATCATCATTACCACCATCATCACCATCACCATCATCATCTACTCCATCGCCATCATCACCATCATCATCTACATCATCATCACCATCATCTTCACCATCACCATCATCTTCATCATCTTCATCATCATCATCTACATCATCGCCATCACCAACATCATCATCATTACCACCATCATCACCATCATCATCTACTCCATCGCCATCATCTCCATCATCATCTACATCATCATCACCATCATCTTCACCATCACCATCATCTTCATCATCTTCATCATCATCATCTACATCATCGCCATCACCAACATCATCATCATCATTACCACCATCATCATCATCATCACCATCATCATCATTACCACCATCATCATCATCATCATAATCACCATCATCATCACCATCATCATCACCAACATCATCATAATCACCATCATCATCACCAACATCATCATCATTACCACCATCATCATCATCATCTTCATCATTACCATCATCATCTACTCCATCGCCATCATCTCCATCATCATCATCATCATAATCACCATCATCATCACCATCATCATCATCATCATCACCAACATCATCATAATCACCATCATCATCATCACCATCATCATCATTACCACCATCATCATCATCATCATAATCACCATCATCATCACCATCATCATCATCATCACCAACATCATCATAATCACCATCATCATCACCAACATCATCATCATTACCACCATCATCATCATCATCTTCATCATTACCATCATCATCTACTCCATCGCCATCATCTCCATCATCATCTACATCATCATCACCATCATCTTCACCATCACCATCATCTTCATCATCTTCATCATCATCATCTACATCATCGCCATCACCAACATCATCATCATCATTACCACCATCATCATCATCATCACCATCATCATCATTACCACCATCATCATCATCATCATAATCACCATCATCATCACCATCATCATCATCATCACCAACATCATCATAATCACCATCATCATCACCAACATCATCATCATAATCACCATCATCATCATCATAATCACCATCATCATCACCAACATCATCATCATTACCACCATCATCATCATCATCTTCATCATTACCATCATCATCACCATCATCTTCATCACCATCATCATAATCACCATCATCATCATCACCAACATCATCATCATCACCATCATCACCAACATCATCATCATCACCATCATCACCAACATCATCATCATTACCACCATCATCATCATCATCTTCATCACCATCATCATCATAATCACCATCATCATCATCACTAACATCATCATCATTACCACCATCATCATCATCTTCATCACCATCATCATCATAATCACCATCATCATCACTAACATCATCATCATTACCACCATCATCATCATCATCATTTTCATCACCATCATCATCATAATCACCATCATCATCACTAACATCATCATCATAATCACCATCATCATCATCATCATCACCAACATCATCATCATCACCATCATCATCATAATCACCAACATCATCATAATCACCATCATAATCACCAACATCATCATCATCACCATCATAATCACCAACATCATCATCATCACCATCATAATCACCAACATCATCATAATCACTATCATAATCACCAACATCATCATAATCACCATCATCATCATCATCATTTTCATCACCATCATCATCACTAACATCATCATCATAACCACCATCATCATCATCATCACCATCATAATCACCAACATCATCATAATCACCATCATAATCACCAACATCATCATCATCATTTTCATCACCATCATCATCATAATCACCATCATCATCATCACCAACATCATCATAATCACCATCATCATCATAATCACCATCATCATCACTAACATCATCGTCAATTACCACCATCATCATCATCATTTTCATCACCATCATCATCATAATCACCATCATCATCACTAACATCATCATCATAATCACCATCATCATCATCATCATCATCATCACCAACATCATCATCATCACCATCATCATCATAATCACCATCATAATCACCAACATCATCATAATCACCATCATCATCATCATCATCATCATCATTTTCATCACCATCATCATCACTAACATCATCATCATAATAACCATCATCATCATCATCACCATCATAATCACCAACATCATCATAATCACCATCATCATCACCAACATCATCATCATCATTTTCATCACCATCATCATCATAATCACCATCATCATCACTAACATCATCATCATAATCACCATCATAATCACCATCATCATCATAATCACCAACATCATCATAATCATCATAATCACCATCATCATCATCATCATCACCAACATCATCATAATCACCATCATCATCATAATCACCATCATCATCACCAACATCATCATCATTACCACCATCATCATCATCTTCATCATTACCATCATCATCACCATCATCATCACCATCATCTTCATCACCATCATCATCATAATCACCATCATCATCATAATCACCAACATCATCATAATCACCATCATCATTACCACCATCATCATCATCTTCATCATTACCATCATCATCACCATCATCTTCATCACCATCATCATCATAATCACCATCATCATCATCATCACCAACATCATCATAATCACCATCATCATCATCATCTACTTCATCATCATCACCATCATCATCACCAACATCATCATCATCATCTACATCATCATCTACATCACCACCATCATCATCATCACCATCATCATCATTACCACCATCATCATCACTACCATCATCACCATCATCACCATCATCACCATCATCTTCATCATCACCATCATCATCATCTACATCACCACCATCATCATCATCATCATCACCATCATCATCATTACCACCATCATCATCATCGCCATCATCATCACCATCATCATCATCACCATCATCATCATTACCACCATCATCATCACCATCATCATCACCATCATCACGATCATCTTCATCACCATCATCATCACCATCATTACCACCATCATCATCACCATCATCATCATTACCACCATCACCATCATCATCATTACCACCATCATCACGATCATCTTCATCACCTACATCATCACCATCATCTTCATCACCATCATCATCACCATCATCACCATCATCATCATCATCACCATCATCGTCATCATCGCCATCATCATCTTCATCACCATCTTCATCACCATCATCATCTACATCATCGTCATCATCGCCATCATCATCATCACCATCATCATCATCAATACCACCATCATCATCACTACCATCATCATCATCATCATCTTCATCATCACCAACATCATCATAATCACCATCATCATCACCATCATCTTCATCACCATCATCATCATAATCACCATCATCATCATCACCAACATCATCATAATCACCATCATCATCACCAACATCATCATCATCATCTACATCATCATCATCACCATCATCTTCATCACCATCATCATCATAATCACCATCATCATCATCACCACCAACATCATCATAATCACCATCATCATCACCAACATCATCATCTACATCATCATCACCATCATCATCACCAACATCATCATCATCATCTACATCACCACCATCATCATCATCACAATCATCATCATTACCACCATCATCATCACTACCATCATCACCATCATCTTCATCATCACCATCATCGCCATCATCATCATCACCATCATCATCATTACCACCATCATCACCATCTACATCACCATCATCATCATCACCATCATCATCATCGCCATCATCATCATCACCATCGTCATCACCATCATCATCATCATCACAATCATCTTCATCACCTACATCATCACCATCATCTTCATCACCATCATCATCATCATCATTACCACCATCATCATCACCATCATCATAATCACCATCATCATCATTACCATCATCATCACCATCATCATCATCACCAACATCATCATCATCATCTACATCACCACCATCATCATCATCACCATCATCATCATTACCACCATCATCATCACTACCATCATCACCATCATCACGATCATCTTCATCACCTACATCATCACCATCATCTTCATCACCATCATCGCCATCATCATCATCACCATCATCGTCGCCATCATCATCTTCATCACCATCTTCATCACCATCATCATCTACATCATCGTCATCATCGCCATCATCATCATCATCAATACCACCATCATCATCACTACCATCATCATCATCATCTTCATCATCACCAACATCATTACCACCATCATCATCATCACTACCATCATCACCACCATCATCATCATCACGATCATCTTCATCACCTACATCATCACCATTATCTTCATCACCATCATCATCATCATCACCATCATCATCATCATCACCATCATCTTCATCACCATCATCATCTTCATCATCACCATCATCATCTTCATCATCAACCATCATCTTCATCATCACGACCATCATAACCATCATCACATTTTCATCACCATCATCATCACCACCATCATCATCATCATCATCACCATCTTCATCATCACCATCATCATCATCATCATCGCCATCATCTTCATCACCATCATCATCTACATCATCGCCATCATCATCATCACCATCATCGTCATCATCGCCATCTACTTCATCATCATCATCACCATCATCATCACCATCATCATCTTCATCATCACTATCCTCATCATCATCACCATTATTACCATCTTCATCATCGCCATCACCATCATCATCACCATCATCACCATCACCATCATCACCATCTTCATCATCACCATCATCATCTTCATCACCATCATCACCATCATCATCATCCTGTGTGGAGGCTCTGATCATGAAGGTAACATTAAGAACCACGTTGTGAGGAGCTCAGTCTGTCTGATCCAGAACCAGAAGGCGACCCTGTTCTGATGGATCGGACCTGATGGTTTGAACTGGACCTCGATGATGTACAGTATGTTGCTCTGGATAACTGGGCTGGGTTCTGGCTCAGAAGCTCCTAGCGGGTCGAGGTTCCTGGCCCAGAAGCACAGGGCTTCACTGCCAAACCTTCTGATCTGGTTGTTCTGGTTCTGGACACGGATCAGAACCGGTTAAGTTCTGTAGAACCACAAGTTCAGTCGGACTAGAGCTCAGCAGAACCAGTTAGATGTTCTGGCTGCAGGAGTGAATCGGACCGGGCTGAACAGAATCCGGGCCTTTGGACCTGGATGGACCGGTTCCTGTTATGGGAACCAGTCCGAATCTCCAGCTGGTTCTGTTCTGCAGAACAAACATGGGCTATCTATGGTTCCTCTGGTTCTGATCCAAACCCTAACCTGTCATCATAGGCTCCGCCCACCAACAGGTGGAGGAAGCTGGACCCTGGGCTGGAACCAGCCGGTTATTTCCGGATCCGGTGAGCTTTACCTTTATCAGCAGAGGGTCCATCAGCATCGATTTTCTGACCACGCCCAGCCGCGGTGATGTCATACTTCCTCTGACGTCAGACATGCCAGCACGTAGAAAAAGTTCTGGGAGGAAACGGACTCGATTATTGTCGGATCCGAAGGGACATCAGGCCAATTCCACACAATGAACCGAACCGAACCTCAGTGTCTCTCTTTGTTCCGGTCCGAAACCAGCAGCTGAAAGAAGCGGAAGCTCACCTGGTTTCACCCGATCTCCGTTCCTTCGTCCTCGCGCCTGGAGTGAAGCGGTTGTCATGGCAACGGGACGCCGGAAGTAGCGCGGTTGTTAAGTTGTGAAAACGTTGCTGCGCATCTTTTATTTCCGATATAGAAATAAAGTGAAATGAATTTAACCTGCAGGGGGAGCCCGCGAGCTCCACCACATTCAGGAACACACAACCGGAAACAGTAAAGATCAAATCTGATTTCAGCGCAGAATATGGATTTAGATTTTATTAATAAAATGTTGAAGTTAAAATTTCATCTTTAGCTTCTGGATCCAAACCGGGAGAAAAACCAACTGAACAGAATCTAACTTTTTTTAAGCTTAATTTTTTTCCATATTTAGAGTCCATCATCATCATCATCATCATCATCATCATCATCCCAGTATAGCCATACTGGTTCCAGTCCGCCATCATGTTAACTTGTTTCCATAAATCGAACTATAGAAATAATAGAAAATCATACTCATGTCTACGAGTCGAACAATCTCCGAGGGCATTGAACGCAGCACCTCTGATGCGTCTTCTACTGCGTCACTTTAAAAAAGATCGTCTATTAAAGAAGTGACTGACTTCAGGCTCAGAGATCATCTAAAACTTTCCAAGAAACATAAAAACCTTCCTTAATTATTAGCTATATGAATATTTCTTATTTAGAATTTTCCTAAACATCCCGCTGGAAATGAGGAAAACCTGAGTTTAAAAGCGGATATTGAATCATATTGAATAATAAAATAAAATACCTCCAGAACTTCCGGCGATCCAACAGTCTGACAGGACGCTGGGAGAAGAACCGACCCGCTGATCTCTGTTTATTCCCTGGATTCTGATGGGCCGTTTGGTATTACGGGTTGAGTGAAGCCACCGGCCGCCATATTGGTACTCCCTAATTAGACCGGTCGCAATGTAAACAATCGTTGTGCTACAGCATCGAACAACAATAATGTTCTCATTTTCAGGGACTTAAGACTTAATAAAGATAAATTAATAACTTTGACACAGACTGGCTGTTTCATAGCATCAGTAGATTAACTTTAACTTAGAATAAATAATACAATCCATCACAATAAAATTAATGTGTTAAAGGAGCAGAATAATAAAGATGAGCCAAAAGTGCTAAACTGATGATGAACATGTGATATACATGGATTTATGACATTGTTATAGTAATTACATCTTACATGTCTGGTAATGGAAAAAAAATCAGAGGTGAAAAGGATAAATGATGCCTCCATCTCTCAGTTTAAACAACATCTCCTGCTCTTTGTTATAATTTCATAAAAACCAAAGCAGGGTTAAACTGTTTTAACCACATTAGTGAACCCAATTATTTTTGGATGAGATTCCACCTGTTCCAAAGGTATCACCATGACAACCAGAGACATATATGCTGCTGACTTTCATCGGTTGTTTTATCATATTTCCTTTTTCCTCCCACAGCAGCAGATAAGTATTTCATAAAACTCCCCAGGAGGCTGCTAACAGTCACCTTTGACCCCCAGGATCAGCCTCCTCCTCCTCCATCTCTGCAGGAAATTGGTCAGAGTGACACCTCTGTTCTCCGTTCTCCTCTCTGAATCTCCAGCAGCTCGTGACGCTGCGTTCATGTCTCCCCCGATCAGGCGTCTGGTTTCGGGCAGAACCTTTGTGGATCTCTGACAGCCGGAGAACACCGCAGATGTTCCGGCTGTGGCTCCAGGCGGCGGGCTTCCTCTGGCTCTGCCGCGGCTCTCTGGGCGCCTCCGGGCGGCTGTACTCGGAGGAGGATCCGCTGGTGATCCTGAGCAGCGACAGCCTGAAGCCCACCGTTACCAACTCGTCCTCGGCCTGGCTGCTCCAGTTCTACTCCTCCTGGTGCGGTCACTGCATCCAGTACTCCAGCACGTGGAGGGCGCTGGCCCACGACGTCAAAGGTACCCGGTCCAAACTGGCTGTTGTATTTCCGTGTTCAGCAGCTGGGCCAGACTCCGTCCACAATTAGTCACCTTACAAACTTTTCATTAAAACTGGAAACTAACAGGTGTTCTAGGAGTAACCGGACAAGAACCGGACCGGGAGGCAGGTTCTGGTCCATTCGGCGTTGGTTTGATTTCTATCCAGCTCTTATCTTAAATATTACTGAGCAATTGTCTCGCGGGGTTTTAGATCGGCAGCTTTGTTGTTAATGGAACCATGAAGCTTTAAACGGGCGTTTTTCCAAAGAGCTTCTGATTAGCTTTAGCTGCTGCTAGCAGAGATAACAGCTGCTGATTAGCTTTAGCTGCTGCTGCTAGCAGCGCCAACAGGTGTACTTCCGGTCAGCATCAGGTGACTGACAGGTGATCATCCAGATCAAAGTGGTGCTGCGGTTTCCTCCATGTTTGGGTTTCATGGTTCGGTTCTTTACCTGAACAGCCAGGCGGGTCACGTGACCTTTGCTCAGAGGTCCACCGTGGGAACCAGACCTTCAATTCAATTCAATTCAGTTTATTTATATAGCGCCAAATTCACAACACATGTCATCTCAAGGCACTTTACAGTTCAACCAGATCATACAGTCAAATTGATACAAAGTTTTCTATCTAAGGAAAACCAGTTGATTGCATTGACTCATTGACTCAAATACAATCCCCCACACTAAGCATGCTTGTAGCGACAGTGGAGAGGAAAAACTCCCTTTTAACAGGAAGAAACCTCCAGCAGAACCAGGCTCAGTGTGAGCGGCCATCTGCCGAGGCCGACTGGGGTTCAAGGAGACAGAAACAGACATAGAAAAAGCAGCTGTAAAAGGCGGCCCCGTCCAGGAAACACACAGCCAGGCAGACGAGCTCCAAGGCAGCTCCCATGCCAGAGGACGAAGAGAGCACATCCACTCAGTCACGGTCAGAGAAACAGGACCACACTGGAAAACAGGCCGATCTCCAACATCTACAAACAAGGGTGTTGATAGAAGCAGCACAGCTGATGTTTCTTTCCTGGATGACGTCACAGCCAAACAGGAACAGACGAGGCAAAGCTACTCTGAGGAAAAGCAGAGAGAGCAGAAGGTTAGAGATTGAACTAACAGATTCTGCAGAGTGGGAGAAAAGAGATAGAATGAAGCAGAATGATGAAAAAGGGGTCCCTATGTCCTCCAGCAGTCTAAGCCTATAGCAGCATAACTATAGAGATAGATCAGGATAACCTGAGCCACCCTAACTATAAGCTTTATCAAAAAGGAAAGTTTTAAGTCTAGCCTTAAAAGTAGACAGGGTGTTTGCCTCACGGACTAAAACTGGTAGTTGGTTCCACAGGAGAGGAGCCTGAGAACTAAAAGAACCTTCAGGTCCATCTGTCTCCACGAGTCTCTGGGGAATCAGGGAGGGGAACCAGCTGCCGTTCACGCCCCCTGCAGCCGCACACATCGGTCCCTGTGCAAACATGTTCCCATTGAGAGCAGCTGTTGGGGTCAGAGGTCATCATCTCATCCTGGAACAATTTCTGTGTCCCAGTGTCTAACCACTATATAATGGATACGCCGTCCTGCTCCAGAGGTCAGTGTTTGAACCTCTAGAGCAGGAGCCACACGGTCCTCTCTGGAACCAGTGTGACACCCATGATCTAGTGTGGTGGGGGGGGGAACTAGATGCCTCCTCAGGAGGCATCTAGTTCCTCCAGAATCCTCTCAATCATCTAATTACTGGATCCAGGGGAGTCAGACTAAGGGCTGCAGGTTAGCGGCCCCCAGGAACTGGAATGGCCCACCCCTGATCCACTCGATGAAAAAGTAGTGCAAATTTTTTCTTACAATGCACCTTTTGCACTTTTTTCCCCCTGAGCCAAGAGAAGCGAGTTCTTCAGGATCTGGAGGCAGCAGCTCAACAGCTGCTGACCTGATCAAGGCTGCACTTTAAAAAATGAAATAATCCAGAGAGCTGTTCTAAACTAAATTCCTGTTTGTTTACACTTGTGTAAACAAACAACTGAACCTCTGAGTTAGAGGGCGGGTTCTGGTTCTGGTTCTGATGGGTTCTGTCTGTGTCAGACTGGCAGGGCGCCATCGGACTGGCTGTGCTGGACTGCGCCCAGGAGGAGAACTTCGACGTCTGCAAAGAGTTCGGCATCAAGTTCTACCCGACCTTTAAGGTAGGACTGTGACCCGGCCCGGTTGAGGCTCCGCCCCCTGCTGGAGCGGCCCGGTAACGCCCCCCTCTGTCTTCTCTGCAGTATTTCCGGGCTCATGGGGAACCGACGGACAGAGGGACGATCTACAGAGGTGAGATGATCCCGTCCGGTTCTGTTCTGTACAACTCTGGGCTGAAACCCAGTTTGGACCACCTGGAGTTCTGATGGTACCAGAGTCATGGTTCTGGAGCGTCGGGTCCATTCGAACTGTTTAGTCTGGTCTTCGATTCTGTTTGGGTTCTGGTTTAGAAGAGAACCGGCAACAGAGATCAGAACCGCAGCATAAAATCCGACCTCTGCTGACCCACGTAGCTCAGCTCTGGTTTCATCAGAACCGGGCCGGGGAACTGGACCCTGACCCGGTTCTAATCCACTTTCTCAGGGTTCTGGTTCTGTTCTTGGTTGTTCTGGTAGTGGCAAAAGGCAGTTGCCACGGTAACCGTTCTCTGACTGTTCCCAGGAGCCGACAGGGAGGTCCGGTCCGTCCGCCAGCTGATGATCGACATCCTGCAGAACCACACCGCGCTGGACCGGCCCGAGAGCTGCCCTCCATTGGAGCCGTTCAGGTACCTCTGCCAGAACCAGAACCAGAACTCTGCTCATGATGTCACTGTTAACCCGTCTGTTTGTTCAGCTCCGCCCAGCTGCTCCCCTTGCTGGGCCAAAGGTCCGATCACTACACCGCCATCATCCTGGAGGAACCCGACTCGTTCGTGGGGCGTGAGGTCAGTTCGGGTCCACTTGGTTCTGGTTGGGTCACTCAGAGCGGATGATCTGAAGCTGCTGGTTGGTCCTGGAACCTGAAGCAGACTCTGACCCACTGACCTCCATCTGCTTCCTCAGGTGATCCTGGACCTGCTGCAGTTCTCAGGTGTTCTGGTGAGGAGAGCTCTGAGCTCTGATCTCCCCCTGCTGGACGCTCTGAACATCGCAGCCTTCCCCTCCATCTACCTGCTGCATCCAAACGGGAGCCACGCCCAGATGCACAGGTAGGTCCACCTGAAACATGGGGGGGGTCAACTTCCCCCTAGGCTGCTTCCTTGTGGTTCTACTCCCTTAAAGTCTTAAACATTTATATAAATGTCTTTATCAGATTTTATTGTCCCAAAAGATAGAAAATTTCAATCCTGTCTTAAAATCTGTGTTTTTTCCGTTATCTTCTGCAGGCCAGTTAGTTCTACGTCAGCCTGAACACCTAAATTCAGCCAATCATATATCAACGGTCATCTGTCAATCAAATGTTTTCAGTCATAGCATCTTGATTCATGTGTCGCAGCTAATATACGCAACGGTTGAAACCAGAATCCTTTCCTTTCCCATTGAGTTGCGTCCCAGTGTTCACGGGGATGGACGTCTGTGTCTTCGGCAGGCGTAGAGCTAACAGAACTGGCAGCGTTGCGAGGCGAGGGCTCAAACATGTACGGCTGGAAGCCTTCTACACCAAACCAAGCTTCTGCCGCCCTGGCGTCCTCTTCCACAACATCTTCGTCCCCGCTTTCCTCCTCTAAATAAAAAATGGATGACGGAGGAGACTCATCCACGACCTCCGACACTAAACTCTCCTCCTCTTGCATGTTTCCGCTGTCCATAGCGTTCCTTGACAGCGTCGTTTCTAAGTCACCAATTTAGTGCTACTTGGTCCCAATGGAATTTCCCATTGGGAACCTGCTAGCGCTAAGTTGCTAACTGGTTAGCAAGATGCTTCCCACAAACCGGCCACAACCAAAAAGCTTGCAAACCTTCCGCCTCAACAACCCCTCCCCCTTGATAATCGACCAATCACATTCCCTTTATTCACTCGTGTAAAGTCGGGCACCAATCAGGAGAAGACATTTTACACAAAAAACAAAAACTACAAAATATTTTATACACACTAATCATTTACAATTTAAAAGGACCTTAAATGAGGAAAAAACAAAAAAAAAAACTTTTGCAAAAAAGTAACAGATTTTATTACCAACTGTAGTTCTGCCTTCCACCAGCAGGCGGTGACATGTTCAGATGAAGCAAACGGTTCAATGCGGCTTCATCTCACCACCATTAGATGAAACCTTAGAGTCCGTGTTTCCAGACGAGGCTGATAGTTTTCATTAGTTTTTGTTTTTTTTGGTCCATTATGAGCCGATGGCGTCCCCTAACAGGTCCGCCTCCTCCTCATGCTTCTCCTCACGGTCCGCTTCCTCCTCATGCTTCTCCTCACGGTCCGCTTCCTCCTCATGCTTCTCCTCACGGTCCGCTTCCTCCTCATGCTTCTCCTCACGGTCCGCTTCCTCCTCATGCTTCTCCTCACGGTCCGCTTCCTCCTCATGCTTCTCCTCACGGTCTGCTTCCTCCTCATGCTTCTCCTCACGGTTCGCTTCCTCCTCATGCTTCTCCTCACGGTCCGCTTCCTCCTCATGCTTCTCCTCACGGTCTGCTTCCTCCTCATGCTTCTCCTCACGGTCCGCTTCCTCCTCATGCTTCTCCTCACGGTCTGCTTCCTCCTCATGCTTCTCCTCACGGTTCGCTTCCTCCTCATGCTTCTCCTCACGGTCCGCTTCCTCCTCATGCTTCTCCTCACGGTCTGCTTCCTCCTCATGCTTCTCCTCACGGTCTGCTTCCTCCTCATGCTTCTCCTCACGGTCCGCTTCCTCCTCATGCTTCTCCTCACGGTCCGCTTCCTCCTCATGCTTCTCCTCACGGTCTGCTTCCTCCTCATGCTTCTCCTCACGGTTCGCTTCCTCCTCATGCTTCTCCTCACGGTTCGCTTCCTCCTCATGCTTCTCCTCACGGTCTGCTTCCTCCTCATGCTTCTCCTCACGGTCCGCTTCCTCCTCATGCTTCTCCTCACGGTTCGCTTCCTCCTCATGCTTCTCCTCACGGTCCGCTTCCTCCTCATGCTTCTCCTCACGGTTCGCTTCCTCCTCATGCTTCTCCTCACGGTTCGCTTCCTCCTCATGCTTCTCCTCACGGTCCGCCTCCTCCTCATGCTTCTCCTCACGGTCCGCCTCCTCCTCATGCTTCTCCTCACGGTCTGCTTCCTCCTCATGCTTCTCCTCACGGTTCGCTTCCTCCTCATGCTTCTCCTCACGGTCTGCTTCCTCCTCATGCTTCTCCTCACGGTCCGCTTCCTCCTCATGCTTCTCCTCACGGTCCGCTTCCTCCTCATGCTTCTCCTCACGGTCCGCTTCCTCCTCATGCTTCTCCTCACGGCCTGCTTCCTCCTCATGCTTCTCCTCACGGTCCGCCTCCTCCTCATGCTTCTCCTCACGGCCTGCTTCCTCCTCATGCTTCTCCTCACGGTCCGCTTCCTCCTCATGCTTCTCCTCACGGTTCGCTTCCTCCTCATGCTTCTCCTCACGGTCTGCTTCCTCCTCATGCTTCTCCTCACGGCCTGCTTCCTCCTCATGCTTCTCCTCACGGTCCGCTTCCTCCTCATGCTTCTCCTCACGGTCTGCTTCCTCCTCATGCTTCTCCTCACGGCCTGCTTCCTCCTCATGCTTCTCCTCACGGTCCGCTTCCTCCTCATGCTTCTCCTCACGGTCCGCCTCCTCCTCATGCTTCTCCTCACGGTCCGCTTCCTCCTCATGCTTCTCCTCACGGTCCGCTTCCTCCTCATGCTTCTCCTCACGGTCCGCTTCCTCCTCATGCTTCTCCTCACGGTCCGCTTCCTCCTCATGCTTCTCCTCACGGTCCGCTTCCTCCTCATGCTTCTCCTCACGGTCCGCTTCCTCCTCATGCTTCTCCTCACGGTCCGCTTCCTCCTCATGCTTCTCCTCACGGTCCGCTTCCTCCTCATGCTTCTCCTCACGGTCCGCTTCCTCCTCATGCTTCTCCTCACGGTCCGCTTCCTCCTCATGCTTCTCCTCACGGTCCGCTTCCTCCTCATGCTTCTCCTCACGGTCCGCTTCCTCCTCGTGCTTCTCCTCACGGTCTGCTTCCTCCTCGTGCTTCTCCTCACGGTCCGCTTCCTCCTCGTGCTTCTCCTCACGGTCTGCTTCCTCCTCGTGCTTCTCCTCACGGTCCGCTTCCTCCTCGTGCTTCTCCTCACGGTCTGCTTCCTCCTCGTGCTTCTCCTCACGGTCCGCTTCCTCCTCATGCTTCTCCTCACGGTCCGCTTCCTCCTCATGCTTCTCCTCACGGTCCGCTTCCTCCTCATGCTTCTCCTCACGGCCTGCTTCCTCCTCATGCTTCTCCTCACGGTCCGCTTCCTCCTCATGCT